TTCCTCTGGGGGCCTGGGATCCTCCCATTTTACACTGAGTCTGCAGCCATTGACGATCAACTTATTAAAGAACTTCTCTGCAGCCACTTGTGCGGCCTGCCCTGCAGAAACCCGGATGAAAGCACACCATTGTCTCTGCACAACAGGGATTGTCCAGATCTCTCTAAAGAGGTCGAGATGATTTCTTAAGATCTGTCTCAGTAATGGTATCACCCAGACCACTAACATCTAGTGTGGGGATAGACTTGTCCTCTGGTAGTTCCAGATGAGGCGTGGTTGAATCCTACTGTAGAAGTTTATCTGCTACAGGGTCATTGACTCCATATCGATCATTAATATCTGATTAGCAAGGGAATCATGTGGACCTGTAGGCTTCTCAAGTCTGTATGGAAACTCCCCTCCTCTCTTACCCTCTCCCTTCCCCTAAAAGGAGAAAATGTGGGGCTTATTCCTTAGGTAATACGGTATGGTCCAAGCCAGTTTGTCCAGCATGTCACTGGTGGATGTGGCTTTCCCCAGCAGGCCAACTGGCCGTCTTCAGTCTGAGTTAGAAACCCCTCTCTCCATATTCTGCATGTAGTACTCTTCTCTGACATCTGACTTTGGCATGTCATCTTATAAAGACAACTCCGTGTCACAAACCTGGATGGGCAGGCCATGCTCCAGGTCTAAGAGGCAGGTCTGACAGACATGCTTCAGTCTTCTGCAGGTTTGACACACTTCATTCTTCTTGAAATGCATGTAGACTCCAGGGCACCAGCAAAATTGTGAATGGCTTGGCATAGATTTTTCATTTTTCTCATACTTTTCTTTGGCCATTCAGATGTAAGGGTTTCCTCTAAGACATGTCTGATGTGGAATGGAGAAGTATGCATCTTCCCAATGTTTCTTATTTAAGGTGTTGAAACCAAGACAGGTCACCATCTTGAGGGGGTCTTGAGGTAGTGGTAGCTTTTAGGTAGGAGAGAGAACCACCATCATCCCGTCAAGCCCAGCTCTTCTCCATTCCCCTGTTCTCGAGGCCCTGGGTGATTGCCTTTGACAGTATGATTCTCCTTTCTTGATTCAAGGTGAAACTCACTTCTCAAGAATCCCCATTCTCGGAGAAAACTCTGGATTTCCTGGTGTCTCCAAGGACTGGCCTGTAATACCAGGGCTTTGGTAGCCTGAGGCAGAAAAATTGCTTGAGGTCAGGAGTTCAAAACCACCTGGGCAATACAGTGAGACCCCATCTTAAACTGCATGCTTTTCTGCTAGAAAATTGAGATAAATAACCTGGAAGTCCAGTTTTTTTCACAAGTATCTTTATCCAGTGACAAAATAACTTCCCAGTAATCACAGCACTATGGGAAGCCAAGGCAGAAGGATCACTTGGGATCAGGAGTTTGATATCAGCCTGGATGCCAAAGGGAGACCTGGTCTCTTCAGCGAGCCAGCATAGCCAGGGTGGCCAGGCTCACCCTGTAATTGTGACATTGCATCTTCATGAAATGCCAGCTTCCTGACTTGAGCTGACATTTTATTTCTCACAGAGCAGCAAGAGGCCAGGACCCTCTCACAGTCTGCATGGGGTTGCCATGGTTATGTTTACCCTCCACTTTTGTGTATCCTGAATTATGGGACACCAAGTTTACATAAACCGTAAAAATAAATTCTTCTCTAGATGTTCAAGTTTAAAACATCTCCTTTCCAATACATCTTATAGGTAAGGTATGTACAGCTCCCACTGTGGCCCTCATCCATCCAAATTCAGTGGTGAAGGTGATTGGTACTACTGAGAACAAAATAAAATGGCGTAGAATGTAAATTGACCGCTGAAGGTGACGCTGAAGCAGGAGGCAATGTCTCCATGGGACAGTGAGTTCATGATGAGTGACAGTACGGATGATCCCCAAAGAGACAGTGAGAAGGTGACACTGGGGATCGTGACGAGCTCTCAAGATAGAGTGGACACTGTCGTCCTGCCCGCCCCAGCCCAGAAAAGTGAGACGATAAAAATTAGTTTCTCAAGACAGAAAGACAGCATCCCTGTCCTGATGAGGCATCTGCTCACACGTTCTCCTTAGCAGGGATATGAGCAGCTGGAAACCAGCCACTGTTTCTGAAGGCTTTTTTCCAGATGTGTGAGGCTCTCTCTGAATTCTGACTGAGCTTTCCCCTTCTTCCCCTAAATATGCTCTCTCAGCTCAAAAGTTTGACAAGATCAAATCACCAGAGCTATTTAAACATCCTACTTTGGATAACACCTTCCAAGACAGCCAACAACTGTAGCTTGTTTAGACTCCCTTCCCATTCCCCTCGTCACACACTGACTAGAAGCCAGGCAAATTCATCTTTCTCCTGAAGCCACCCCTCCTTACCATCTAAATGCCAAGCTGACTTAGAGTCAACTTCTAGATTTGGGATTGTTACCTTCTTCCTTAATTTCATAACAGCAGCAGCCTCTCAGTGGTCAAGCTAAATCCATTTAGCTTAGGTCTGACTTGTGGATCTTCTGAGGTGGAAAAAAAATTTTTAAATAATTCTCATTCTTTAGAGCAACTGGTAATAATGAGAAAAACTAATGGGCATTCATAAGCTGTTATAAGACACAGTTCCTGTTCTATGCATTATTCATTTATGCAAACTGTTGTAAAGGTACCAAATTCACTGTGCAATTGGGCTGGAAAAGTCCCTGAACTCAAGATTGCATTGGTATGCACATTTCTGAGGCTTGGTTCTGTTTAACATTCTCATCAGTGACCCGCTTAAAGGAGCAGAGAGCAAGCTCATTAAGTTCCTAGATGGGAGGGATGACCAGAACATTAAAGAACAGGATTAGAATTTCCCCAGCCCTTGCCAAATTAGCAAAACTGTTAGAGTCAAATATGTTCATCAGGGAGGCAGAGCAAAGTAAGCTGACCAAATGCAAGCTGAGGGGTAGGAAGTTATTTAGAAACTGAAAAGAATACGGATGCATAGACTTGTAAGGGAAAATGAACTAGCCCAGTGGAACCAGTGGTATTCACTGGGGCCTCTGCACACCTTTGCAATGGGCTCAGAGCCCCAGTTTGTGAACTGGCCTTCCCCAAGATTTCTAAGAATTCCAGGGAGCTTTTCTCATGGTTACCTCTAGCTCCAGTTCCTGGTTCCACTTAATTAGCTTGGTTTTTGGCTCATTTCACTGTCCTTAGTCACTGTATTTCAAACCATGTTGACCCAGACATTAAAAACCGTTTCTCTCCCATGAGTAGATAACAGCTTCCTGCAGAAGGGCCCTTCTATCTCTTTGACTGTCTTGGCTCTTGTTCAACTTTTCCAATTAAACTTCTACCCCAAGGAGCTTAACAAGATAGTTTCCTAAATACAGACAGTTCTTTTCCTAAGAGGAACTCTCAAACCAGCTGTTACGACAATTAGAGGCACCTGTGTCCCCTAGCAAAGATGAGCATGACAAAGTCACGAGCTCATAGTGCTATAGCCAGGGGATGGCAAATTCTGTGAAGGAGCAGGGAGTACACATCTTTGGTTTCTTGCAATTACTCAACTCTGGTTATATAGCATGAAAGCATTCTTACACAATACATATAAATAGATGGCAAGGTCAAGGTCTGGGGGGTGGACCATAGTTGCCAACTCTTGCTAGGTTCGGCTTCAGAATCTGTGACTTTCTGGAAGTCTTAACAACCATCTTGTCCAACCAGCTCATTCTACACCTGCAGAAACCAGGACCCAGAAAGTAAAATGACATTTGTGCAAGTTCACAAGATAGTTAAGCCTGAGTTGAAACTTCCAACAGGTAGCTCAATTTCCAGGTCAGCACTCTTTCCACTGCACCATCATCAGGCTATTTCCAGAAGGTTCTGCAGATCCCTGCTTTAATTGGCAGAGCCTTTGCTAGAAATTTTCCCACTTAACATTTAGTGCAATGCATTCGTTGCATTCTGTGTAGTACACAGTAATATCATTCGGTAGCCTCCCTAGGGCCTGAGATGAATATGTGACTAAGATTTGGGTGAGGCTGTCTCTACCTCCTAAAGGCAATCCAAGAAAATCAGAAGAGGCCAGAATAGATTCGAAAGGAAAGCTATGCACAAAGTTCAAATGATAGTAGTTTTGTTAATTAAAGGTGACATAAAATCTTCACATACCAAGAGGAACATTTTAAGGAGGAGCAGTTACCTTTCATCTCCTATTAAAATAAAAAGAGAAAGACTAGAGGGTACGTTAGATCACAGAAAGAACCTGCCAGAGATAACTCGGTTACATGCAAGAACTGAAAGCCTGAGGAAGTCACAGAATTCACTTCCTAGCCATATCTGAGAGTTGCATCTTCTGGGAAGTGTTAGGAGAGAGAGAAATCGACTATGATGACAACTCTCCAAATTCTTTCTCTCTTTAAGTCCCCTGAAAGCTGCAGGAAAGAACCCTTCTCGGAGCCAACAGGGATGCACCGAATCATTACTCTTAATAAGAACAGGGCAGTTTTGTTTTGTTTTGTTTTTGTAAGAAAGCTGTGACAGGCATAATCTGAAGTGGATACTTGGGAAAAATAATTGTGATTTCAAAGGAGAGCCCCAAATGATGCTCATTTCCATTGGCAAGATTCTGTGGTAACTGACGGAAAACCCTCTATTCAGGGTCAGAAGCTTGTAGCCCCTTCCAAATATTTGTGTGTGGACTTGCTCATTCCTCTACCTCAGTAGAGGCCAGGCGGTTCTTGATGTGGATGGTCATTGATCTTTAATTTGAAGACCCAGTAGCTGGAACGTATTCCTCCTTAAAAGTCAGGGCCAAGTGTTTATGAGAACCCTTGCTACATTTGATAAAGATAAATCCTAGTGTACATCTTGTTACTAATTAAAAATGGTACAATCTGTGCAAATGTTATTTCTGGACAGTACATCTCATGAAACTATCCCACAGGATTCTTTATTCCAAGCCACTACTTCTCCAGAGTCTATTTTTCAAAAATGACAAATTCCTTATGATTATTTTTCATTATTTTAATTTTTTTCCAGATGATCCGGGAACCTGCACATCTTGCACTATGGGGTATTACATGTAAGTGTGGCCTTCCTCTTCATGGCACTAACTTTTCGGCAGTTTTAGCATTACTGACTTAATCGTCAATCCTGTGATTAAAGCAAAGTGGCCCTGGAGGCCGAAGCAACTCTGTTCTGTCAGGCTATTAATGAGCAATTCTTGGATTTAGCAATAAGGGCCCAGCTGTTTCCTTGCCTCGAAAGGAGGCCATCTCTTTCTTGATCCTGGAAGTCATCCAGCCTGACACTGGTGTCTAGGAATCGTGCCATGGGTTACCAAGATTCAGATCTTGCTGTTCATGGACAGACCTTAATAACATACCTGGTCCTAAGTAAGCTGCTTGTAAATGTTAGCATGGAGATCTTGTCCTTAACCAGAGTGAAGGCTCCAGGGTGAAGCCAGGTGCTGTGTTAGCTCTTAATCAACTCCTAGGTAACTTAGAGACACAGAGCACTAGGTTAAATGAAACACAGTTAACCATCACTCCCAATGTACTCTAATAAAAATCCACAAAATCAAAAATGGCACGTTTCAATATCACCTCCTCTTCTAGTCTCTCTTCCAGCACACCCTGTTGACTGTCTAGAAGAAAAGCCAAAGAGAAAGGAGAGAAAAGGAAAGGAAAGCCCTGTGTAACACGAGGGCTGCAGAGTCCCTCCCTGTCCTCCTAAGAACTCAGGAGTTCTTTGATATGCAAAGTCTCACGACTGTTTCGTCTCTTGATCATTCCACTGACATTGTCAGAGACACAAGGAGGATGTTAATCCCCTGAAGAGAAAACTGAAGCTCAGAGAAGGGTGAGATTTTACTCAGGTTGCACCAAAAGTAGTGACAGGTCTACATTTGGGACATTTGGGCTTTGTCAGGTCACCTCCTCTGTCACACTGCCTTTTCCCTCCATCCATGGAACCTACCTGTCCAAAAACAAATACACTTGAAACGTGGTAATATGTGGGAAGACAGAAGGAGTGAGAACGACCGGAGAGAAAGGGAAGTCCAATAAGCTGAAACATACTAAAAGTGATCAGTTAACCTTATCAGTTCTTAGCCTTATGGTTTTAACCTAACTTTTCCAGAATAGCCTGCCATTCTCTACATTGACCATGTCTCACATCACTGCACTCCTGACACACTTTGATTTTTTTTTTTTTTTCGTATGTTTGATTTTGTTTTTAGACAGAGTATCATTCTGTGACCCAGGCTGGAGTGCAGTGGCGTGATCTCTGCTCACTGCAACCTCCACCTGCCAAGTTCAAGCGATTCTCGTGCCTCAGCCTTCATAGTAGCTGGGATTACAGGCGCACGCCACCATGCCTGTCTAGTTTTTGTATTTTTAGTAGAGACAGGATTTCACCATGTTGGCCAGGCGCTGTTAAACTTTGTTAAGCATCCTCTGTTAAACTTTGGAGCCAAACCTGTCTGCCTCTCCAGCTCACCACAACTTGGAAATGTGCATGTTTCATAAAACCCTCTGAAAAACAAATACCCTGAAAGAAAATGCTCCAATGTCACTAAGGGTAAAAGATGAGATATTTGTTTCAAGAAACAAACATATATAATACTTGAAAACATTTAGCAACTTTGAATACAGCTAGTGAAATGCTAAGCAGTAGAAGTTATTGCCAGGCATGGTGGCTCATGCCTGTAATCCCAGCATTTTGGGAGGCCAAGGTGGGAGGATCACCTGAGGTCAAGAGTTTCAGACCAGCCTGGCCAATATAGGGAAACTTTATCTCTACTAAAAATACAAAATTAGCTGGGTGTGGTGGCACACCTGTGATCCCAGCTACTCGGGAGGCAGAGGCAGGAGAATCACTTGAACCCAGGAGGTGGAGGTTGCAGTGAGCTGAGATCACATCATTATACTCTAGCCTGGGCGACAGAGGGAGACTCTGTCTTGGGGGAGAAAAAAAAAGTTGTTAAGGAAGAAATGCAAAGGCTTCCCCTGATATCACGCTGATGCTTTGAAATTCATCAAGGGTGGGGGTTAACTTCAGTTCACTCCCCCTTCTGGTAGGCCTGCAATTCAGTGGAGTCTGAATTACAATATTTTACTGTATAATGAGAATAACAGTAAACATTCATAAAAATATTTATAAATAAAAGCGAAGGCATTTTGATACTATTGTTAATAATCTGGTCACAGACATTTTAGGAAGCTGCTTGGACTCAACACCAAGCTATTTCAGGCCTCAGTACCAGTTGCTATGTGACGAATCACACAAACGACCTTTTCACACAGACTTTGGTTAAAATCCCAGTCCCACCTTTAACTAGCTGTGTGATTTTGAGCACTTACACTTGAGCTCCAGTTCCCTTATCTAGAAATTACAGATACATGATATCTTCCGTAAGAGATTTATACAGATTTTGACGAGCTAATACTTGACACATAATCAGTACTCTATAAGGAAGTATCAGTACCCCTTCTTTCTCCCCAGCCTTCTCCCAGCTGCTATGATAAAGAGTCCTTGGAGGTCCAAAAGGAGGTGTTTAATGACTTGGGTTGAGGGGAGCACAACAGACCAAGCCTGAAATTCAATTATCTACTCCTGTTGAAAATGCTGCACAGACTGGGTGCAGCGGCTCACACCTGTAATTCCAACAGTTTGGGGGGCAGAGGTGGGCAGATCACCTGAGGTCAGGAGTTTAAGACTGGCCTGGCCAATACGGTGAAACCCCCTCTCTAGAAAAATACAAAAATGAACCAGGCACGGTGGCACACACCTATTGTAATCCCAGCTACTTGGGAGGCTGAGGCAGGAGAATCACTTGAACCTGAGAGGCGGAGGTTGCAGTGAGTGGAGATCACACCACTACACTCCAGCCTGGGTGACAAGAGCAAAACTGCATCTCAAGCAAACAAAACAAAACAACAAAAAACCCTGCATAGATATAAAAAGAGATTAAATTAGGGTGGTGAAGGGAAATACATCAACATACGTCATGAAAGAAACGATGTCTTCTTCCTCTAGGTTTGATCACCATTGTTATAAAATCTGTCCTGAGAAGACCTATAGTGAGGAACTGGAATGCAAGGCATGCAGTAGCAACTGCGGCAGCTGTGACCAGAACGAGTGTTACTGGTGTGAAGAGGGCTTCTTTCTCTTGAGTAAGTCAGAAAATGGCACCATCTAAGGTGAGAACCAGGCACTGGAGCTCTACCCAGTCGGGACCACAGGAGTGCACATGTGATTGGTTTCAGGGTCTGTGCGTGTGGTCACCTCTGGCCCAAGGAGGAATTTTAATTTGGTTTGGAAATAAACATCAGCCAGGACCACCTCCTTCTGCTTTCATTACTGAAGCATGGTTCCTGTCCCACTAATTCATCTCAAATATCTCCAAGCTGATGGAAACTAGACTGAACTGGATGGAGACAGGGAGTAGGGACCTGAAGATAAATGTTTTGGCATTGAAGTCACCTCGAATATTCGGAACTCTGACCCTTGTCTTGAGACTTAATTCAGCTTATATATCCCTGTGTACTGTAAGAATCTAACAAGATCTTAGGTTTTAGTCAACTCACTGACTTTGATGGAAATGGATAGTTAGGAAAGAAATACAGTGTGACTCTTCCAACTGAGGAAATATGAACCCAATGCACTTGAGAGTTTGGGGGAGAAAGAATGAGAAAGCCAGCCCACAATGATCTTCAGTGGTCCTCTACACAGGGACTTATTTTATTTGTAGTTTTTCAAGGCCTCAAGGATTCTGTATTTGATGCTCTGAACCCTTTAGTGGCCAATGTTACTTCTCAGTTGAAAGAGGACTTAGGTAAAAAGTGTTGGTTGGTTTTTTTTGTGTTTTGTTTTTTAAGACAAAGTCTCGCTCTTGTCAACAAGGCTATAGTGCAGTGATGCCATCTCGGCTCACTGCAAACTCTGCTTCCTGGGTTCAAGCAATTCTCCTGCCTCAGCCTCCTGAGTAGCTGGGACTACAGGCACCCTTCACAGCACCTGGTTAATTTTTGTACTCTTAGTAGAGACGAGGTTTTGCCATGTTGGCCAGGCTGGTCTTGAACACCTGACCTCAGGTGATCCACCTGTCTCGGCCTCCCAAAGTGCTGGGATTACGGGCATGAGCCACTGTGCAGGGCCTGGATTTATTAAAACACATTTCTTGGTTGAAATAAGCTAAAGCCATCTTGGTTTCTTTAAAAACAAAGGCAAAAGCTGGGCACAGTGGCCTGGCCAACATAGTGAAACCCCATCTCTACTAAAAATATATAAATTAGCTGTGCCTGGTAACACACACCTGTAGTCGTGGGTACTCAGGAGGCTGAGGCAGGAGAATCACTTGAACCTGAGAGGTGGAGATTGCAGTGAGACAAGATCATACCACTGCACTCTAGCCAAGGCAACAGAGATAGACCCCATCTCCAAATAATAATAAAAACAAATGCAAAGAAAAATGTCCCTAAGATTTCCTCCAGCCCCTTTAGAACCTGGCCTTGCATAGAGCACCAAAGCCTTCATGCTATCTCTCTGTGTCTCACACAGATGGCAGCTGTGTGAGGCAATGTGGCCCTGGCTTCTATGGTGACCGAGAAATGGGAGAATGTGAGCCCTGCCACCGAGCGTGCAAGACCTGCACAGGCCCCGGCCGTGACGAGTGCAGGAGCTGCCCAAAAGGACTGCAGCCGCTGCGTGGGACGTGTGTGCATGCCACCCAGATCCAGGTGGAGGGCAAATTCTGGAACGGTATGTGCCTCCCAAACAGAGATCACAGGGTTTGTGCGTGCGGGCACCTCTGGCCCAAGGAAGAATCTTACAGCAAAACCCCCTCTCTAGAAAAAAAAAATACAAACATTAATCAGGCATGGTGGTGCGCATCTGTAATCCCAGCTACTTGGGAGGGTGAGGCAAGAGAATCACTTGAACCTGGGAGGCGGAGGTTGCAGTGAGCCGAGATCACACCACTGCACTCCAGCCTGGGCAGCAAGAGCAAAACTCCATCTCAAGCAAAACCAAACAACACAACAAAAAACTCTGCATGGATATATGTAAGGAGATTAAATTAGGGTGGTGAAGAGGAATACATCAACATACATCATGAAAGAAACAATATCTTCTTCCTCTAGGTTTGCTCACCATTGTTATCAAACCTGTCCTGAGCAGACCTAGGGTAGGGGTCTAGCTGCCTGCTCTGCTTTCCTCCTTCTATAACCCCGGTTTTTTAGTTATCCAGGAGAGAAAGGCTGTGCAGAGAATCAAGTTGGGATCATTCCTGAGTCTCTCTGATGCTTGCAGCAGGAGTGGGCAGGAAGCTGAGGTTGGCATTCAGCCAGCAGAGAGAGCCCAAAGGGCAATTTATGATTAGTCTACCCACTTGAGTTCCTACCTGGGTGAAGTAGGCCCAGAAGCGAGTGAAGAGAGTCATGGAGGGAAATGGCCCCGGTACCATTTTCTCAGAAATTTCAAACTCACTTCTGTCACAGGCATGTATCTCCTTACTACAGTTAAGGGAGATTTTACCTGTAGGGTAGGCTTTTCCAGTTAGACAAGGAAGAACTGCTTGAATGTGTTAGAATTTCTGCTAAAAACAGATGGTCTCTGTGGCTGAGTTCTTAGAGCTCACCATCGTTCAAGCTTGCCTCTGAAAGTTGCTCTTCCCAGTTGCAGACAGGGAATGTGTGGAGCTTCTGAGGAGGGAGGGGAGGGCACAGGTGTGGGAGCCTGGGATCCGACAGCAAAGCCCTGCAGCTGCTCATTCCTCCCTGAGTCTTTAGAACACGCCTCCTCATACTTGAGCCCCGGTTGTAGGCTTCCTTGCAAGGTAATTACAAACTTTCAGCGACCTCTCCATGTTCGAGGTGGTTACAAAACAAAATCCTCTCCCTGCGGGAAAAACCTGACTCATGTTCTATGCAGAGACAACTGACAAAAACAGGAGCTGCTCTTCATTTGATTTCGAGGCAGGAATTTGTTAGAAGGGTCACTTCGGTGCAGAAACAATGGCAGTGAAAAGAGGGCTGTGCAGGAGGAGTATGCTAAAGGCTTGTGGGAGTGACAGTTCTGTGGCTTTTGCCGGGCTTGAGAGGAGGCGTGCCCATGGCTGCTGTCTACCACCGAAGTTTTACACATGTGACTTCAAGGAAGAGCAGCTCAGACACCATCGAAACCCCAGCAGCCGAAGGCCATGAAGAACTCGGGCCCTATTTCAGAGACAAAGCTGGAGATTATTCAATCCAGATTGGGATATCTTCTGTGACTTATAGCTGAACCAAAACGCTGAAAATGAGTCTGTCTGGCATTCAGGCATCTTAGAGGCGGTGCAGGCCAAGAGGAAAACGGTCTGGTGCTGTGTTTCTTGCTGAACGTCTGTATTTTATCTGGCGTCCAGATGATGACATGGTCCAGGGAGCCAAGAGTTAGAGCGGCCTTGATTCCCCAAATGATTTCACGTCCCTTCAACTGGACTACGCATTTTGCAAGCAGAAACCGGGCTTCAGTGGTTCCCTTCTGTCAAAGCACCACACCCACCCCTCCACATTTTCTACTATCACAATGTAATGTTTTTGAAGAGAGGGAGGAATTAGTGCATCTGGGGATTTTTCGCTAATAGGGGAAGGGAACGGCGATGAGAGTGTTTCTCATGGCTGAACAAAAACAATCAAGTCAATGACAAAGCTGTACTTTCCCATTCCTATGATCTATGAAATAAGACATGCAGACCATTAACACAGAGAAAAAGCTATTTATTCACTAAGCAAGGTAAAGCTATAGCTCAGCTTCCCCCAGCATCATTTCAGCACTGAAATGGATAGTAAATGGGAAATGCATTCCATAAAGTCCTGGGAGTATTTGAGCTGATGCCTACAACCTTCTCCTGACTTTTTCTTATAAAACAGGATCGAGAGTGTAATAGGAGAGTAGAGGGTTCCAGAGAACAAGCACTAATTAGCCACACCTTTAAGATGATGGAAAGCAGATTGCAGTCATCCTGGGTCAATGCAGAGGAAACCCAGGCAAATTACAGAGTGCTTTTGAGAGGACATAGCTGCCTAGGTGGTACCAGCACATTTTTCTGTTTTGCTTTGGGTTTCGTTTTGTTTTGTTTTTCACACACGGTTTCAGATTCAGGTAGGAAAGGTAAGATGACACACACTTCATTCTATTCTTTCACCCATGCTGCTCCCCAGTGGAAACAAAAAGATCATGTTTGCCTCTGAAGACCACAACCAAACCCATGAACATCTATCAGCACAGGCTAGGAAGACACCCTTGAAACAAAAGTCCACCTAGAGCTCCCTGCACTCCTCTTTTAATAAGGTGGCTGATCAGGATGAGAATGACTACAGTGAGAGACCCACCATTCTTTGCCAACTACCAACAAAGTGGGAATACCTCCCACCTAGTCCAAGGATGCAGATTTTTCCACCTATGAGACAGTGCCTGACAAGTCCTCCAGCCAAGGCTAAGTAATCAAAGATGGGGCTGGACTCTCTTGTTCTTTCAGCCACCAAAAAGTCACCGCACAAATGTACGTATCATCCCCAGACCCTCTGTCCTGATCACAAGTATATTGTGACGATTATTTAGTGTCCCTACGTGGCAGGAATAAAACCAGTATTCAACAGGCTGCAAACAGCTTCAGCAGTGACTCAAGCAACAATCACACAGCCTTAGTGGAAAGGTTCAGGTGCCGCAGACCATGGGTTCTGAAACAAGATGATGGCTTCAGCTGGTTTCCTGAAGCCATTGTTTGGGAATGGCAACAGTTTCCTCTGTTACTGTTAAACCATTTGGATTTTCTTAAATGGTTTCCACCCAGTAGTGCTGGAAAGTCCTAGGAGTAATTTCTGTACATTTCTCTTACCCTCTATTTCCATCATTGATTAAAACCATGTTACAGCAGGCTCTAATTACATACTCTGGTGATAGTCTAATCTACAGAACACAGCCATCGTGAATTAGCTTTTTGTCTGACCACATCCTAACAATTTATCACTAGCTTGTCTCTTGATCTTAATTCTTATCCTTGGGGAAAGACCAGAGTCCCAGAGTTAATCATAGACACTGCAAGCCGCTCACATGTGAAAAAAAAAAAAAAAAAAAAAAAAAAATCAGCTTCAATAGTAAAGATTTGTTGCCTAATAGTCACTGAACTTTAGAACAAACTGTAAAGATGCCATGGAAATCTGATTTTCAGACTTTGTAGATGTGTACAGCTGTCTCACTTAGAAATGAGTACACCATGTTTAGTTACTTAACCAACCAGAACACAGAGTGAAAAAAACACACGGCACTGTGTAAGTAATTAAATGTTTGGCCAGCAGGATGAAAGAACCATCTGTATCCGCTTGCATGGATTGTTACATACTCAGGAGTTCTGTAAGTGGATTGTTAAACCATTGACAGCTTGAAATTAACTATGGTGGGAGTATTTACACCACAGAAATTGGAAACACTATAAATCAGTTTTTGGTTTTTCCTTTTTCTACAGACCTGTCTCACCAGCAACACTATTACTTTGGCTTCTATCAAACTACTTCAGAATTTAAATTCATTACTGAAAAATTCTAAACGTCTACACTCTCTAGCAGATGCGGGCTTTAGAGAGTGACATACACGAATTCAAATCCCCGCTCTGTGATTTGTTAGCTGTGTGACCTTGAGCGAGTTACTCATCTTCTCCGAGCCTCAGTGTCCTTGTCTATAAAGTGAAAACGTGAAATTGCCTCACACAAAGTCATTTTAAGAATTAAGTGAGAGCCGGGCGTGGTGGCTCACGCCTGTAATCCCAGCACTTTGGGAGGCTGAGGTGGGTGAATCACCTGAGGTCAGGAGTTTGAGACCAGGCTGACCAATATGGTGAAAGCCCATCTTTAAAAAAATAAAAATAAAATAAAATAAAATAATAAATAAAAAAGGGAAACAAAAAAAGAATTAAGTGAGAGAATACACCTAAAGCTCTCAGGACACAGAGAACACATTAAAGTCTACTCTACTCCCTATCCTTTGACTCGATCCAGTTTTAATGCTTGAAACACTAGTTTGCTTTGAAAGCAGCATTCCCCGGCTCATGAAAGAAAGCAATCTGGGGCCATGCATGGTGGCTCATGCCTGTAATCCCAGCACTTTGAGAGGCCAAGGTGAGCAGATCACTTGAGGCAAGGATTTCAAGACCAGCCCGGCCAATGTGGTGAAAACCCATCTCTCCCAAAAATACAAAAATTAGCCAGGTGTGGTGGCGTGCACCTGTAGTCTCAGCTACTCAAGAGTCCGAATAGAATCACTTGAACCCAAGAGGCAGTGGTTGCAGAGAGCTGAGATTGCACCACTGCACTCCATCCTGGGTGACAGAGCTAGACTCTCCCCAAAAAAAAAAAATCAAAAACAAAACAAAAAACCAAAAAAGCCATTTGGGAGGGTATAGAGATAAATAGAGGTCTGGGGGAAATGGCCCCAGAAAGAAGGCAGCAGATAATAGTAAGTCAGGATGCCTAATAGGCAGAATCCTGACTTAGCCAAGAATGTATACTCACAAAGATATTGAGAGCGGCTTTATTTATAATTGTAAAAAAGAGAAGGGAACAATTTCAAAAATATAACAAAGGAAGAAAGCTAAAGTGAATTACCATTTATACAAATAAATATGCAAACCATTAAAAATGATGTTTATGACCGGGCACAGTGGCTCACGCCTGTAATCCCAGCACTTTGGGAGGCCAAGGCAGGCAGATCACTTGCGGCCAGGAGTTTGAGATCAGCCTGGCCAACATGGTGAAACCTCGTCTCTACTAAAAGTACAAAATATTAGCTAGGCATAGTGGTGCTCACCTGTAGTCCTAGCTACTCAGAAGTCTGAGGCGAGAGAATCACTTGAACCCAGGATCCAAATGTTGCAACAAGCCGAGATTGTGCCACCACACTCTGGTCTGGGTGACAGAGCAAGACTCCATCTTAAAATTTAAAAATTATGTTTATGAGGAGTGTTAATGACAAGAGAAAATGCCTATGAGATCTACAGTGTTAAATGCAGTGTGCAGGGTCAGTCTTACGTATACTGAAGCTGTAAATGATCACACATCTATACATACCTGTCATTATACTCACACACTTGATATGAAGATGAGACCTCCGTGTGCCACAGTATACACACCAGACATTTCTGGGGGGTGGGATTATAGGTGAAGTTTATTTTCTCTATCCTTTTTGCATTAAGAAAAACTAAATACTTTATTTTTTTTTAATAAAAAAGAAGCTGTGCCCACTGCAAACCTATCTGTGGTGAAGAGCCTGCTGCAGGAACGACGAAGGTGGAAAGTTCAAATCAAAAGAGGTAACAGGGAAATAGGGAGGTGCTAATCACAGCAGCAGAGACCGTCTCTGGACATGGTCTCCATGGAGAAATCACCCCAAGAGGCTGGGAGGCCAGTTGCAAATGGGGTACAGAGATGCAGAGATCATTAGAGAGACATGGAGAGAGAAGGGGGCCATAAACACAAAATGTCAGTGGGCACTCAGAGGGAAGACTGTGAGAGCTTCAGCAGTGGAGATTTCTGTAACAGATAAGGACATTCCTGATGTGCTAAATGGTCATGCCTGGCAGAGGCTAGCAAGAAAAGCCTTTGTCCTTGCAGAACGTTAAGAGGCTAAGGAAGCACCTTGCCTTCCCTGTCATGGCAGCATTTAGAAATCACAAAGACTGGAGAAAACTAAATGGTTTACCAGTAGGAGACAAAGAAGCCAAGTCGATGTGTTCATACAATGGAATACTATGGAGCCACCAAAGAGAAGGAAGAGGTGCCTTATTTACTGAAAGAGAATGATCTCCAAATACATTGCCTGTTCACTTTACAGGCAAGGTGATAAACAGCGTGAATTGATACCGTTTGTATGAAAAAAGGTGGAGAAGGGATTGGGAGGGAGACATCACCATACATGCCTTTTCTCCATTATGCACCACGTACGAATTATGTACATAATAAAAAATAAATAGAATAAATAAACCCCTTGCTTTATGTAGTTTAGCTAGTCACTTCTGAAGAATGAACACTGTACTTTCTGGGTCAAAGTGGTTCGTTCATTCTTTCTTATTTATTTTTATTTATTCATTCATTCATTTACTTTTTGCAGTCCTGTCCAGTCTAGAATTTCTTGAATGGGAAAAAGAGAAACTGTGATCATGGTTAAAATTTACTTGCTGAGATTAAGACCCTTATCTTTTATGATAAAGAGCTCCCGCTGGGGAGGACTTGATCCCCTGTCCAGGCCTAATTGCTTAGTTAACTGCTTGTACAGATCTCCCTCTGGTGGACATATGAAGACATTACAGAACTTTATTTTATTTTTATTTTTTATTATTTTTTAAGAGACAGTGTTTTGCCATGTTGTCCAGGCTGGTCTCAAACTCTTAGCTTCAAGTGATCCCCCCACCTTGGCCTCCCAAACTTCTGGGATTACAGACATAAGCCATCGTGCTTGGCTGACATTACAATTTTTATATCAGATGTATGTGGTAAAATATCAAATTGCCAGAATGTGAGATACATGTAATTATAAATATGTGCATATGTGTAGATATAGACATTAAAGTTTACACAAGTATGAGAAAAGTAATGAAAACTCATGTCTTTATAAATGTATTTTGGTATGTAAATGATAACATCAAAGGAAAGTCAGTCTGAAGCCTGGACACACAACACTGAAGATTTGCAAGGTGTTCACTGTTTGACGAATATTGTTGTGTTATGATTCTCTGAACAATGCTCTCAGCCATTCAGTGAGCTGATATTAGCAACAGGATGGTTGCTCGCCTTTCGGCTGCCTTCTCTTTTGGGCTGAGTGATACTGCAGGTTTTAAAAGCCTTCAGGGACAGAATCGGTTCCTTTGAGACGCATTCGGAACACGTGTGTGACAGTCCTGTGGCTAAGGTGGCTCTGCATGAGGCTAAATTCAGCCCTTTGCAAATTCCCCAGAGAGAGTACATTAGTCAATCATCACCTCTAATTCGTATATTGGAAAACCAGGGGGCCAGCTGCAGTGGCTCACTCCTGTAACCCCGGCACTTTGGGAGACTGAGGCAGGTGAAACACCTGAGGTCAGGAGTTTAAGACCTGCCTGGGAAACATGGTGAAACTCCATGTCTACTCAAAATACAAAAATTAGCCACGCTGCGTGGCAGCCACCTGTAATCCCAGCTACTTGGGAGGCTGAGGCTGGAGAATCTTTTGAACCCAGGAGGCGAATGTTGTAGTGAGCTGAGATTGCACCACCCCGCTCCAGCATGGGTGATGGAGCAAGACTCTGTCTCAAAAAAAAAAAAAAAAAAAAAAAGAAAGAAAGAAAGAAAGAAAGAAAGGAAACCCGGGTAATTTTTTCTCTTCAAACTAGGATAAAATCAATGACCCAGCATGGCAGCCTAATCATTTCTATCTCCATCTCCATCTCCACCTGTATCTGTACCTATCCCTGTGTCTGTATCTATCCATCCTATCTATTTATGTATCTTTCTCTCATCTGTATTTGAATCTAGTTTCCTCTATAGCAAATCTAGTTTCCTCATCAGCTTTGTTTCCATGACTATCATCATAGAAGCCCAGCAGTGCCTCCTGGTGCCACTCAGGTATGAAACCAGAGGGAAGGGAGAGGGGAGTAAAACAAGGCTCAGAAATGGAGTGAAACAGTGATAGGAGACAGACAGCGGGAAGAAGGAATCACCATTCAGCGCACCACTGAGTCACGCACTTGACACACACCGTCTCATTTAGTCTTCTCAACAATCTGTAAGGGTGGAATCATTTTCTCTCATTTTAGAGACAAAGAAAGGTAGGACTCTGAGAGTTTAATTACTGTATCCATGGTTACCCTGCCCTTCGGCAGCACAGCTGGGATCTGAAGGTAGGTGTGGCTAGAGAGCCATCTATACCTGGCTGACTCTCAGGAGAAAGAAAGAAAATGAAAGGCAGGAGAGGAAGGAAGGAAGGGAGAAAGGCAGGGAGGAGGTAATGAAGGGAAATGGTAAGACGTCAATACTGACTGAGGGTCAGGGTCATTGAAATCCCCCATTCTGAGCTAGAACTTCATTTTCTGATTTTTCCCTGGGTGAGCCGTGCTGATTTCTGAGCAGTCTCTGGCTCTCGTCAAGGTCTCAGTGTGTATCGATTGAGTGCTGTCATTGAAGCTGTTCTGTCTCTGAAATTGCCCCATGGAGTTGCTGAGGCAACTTCCTGGGAAAGCCTTCCCATCAAAAGCTGTTGGAGGGAAAGGGAGACAGGAACACACACTTCCAGTGTTTCCGTAGTTAATGGTGTATTAACCTGGGACAGCCTACTTAAAGCCTGACCAACCAGAAAGCTCATGAGCGGGGGATAATTTTGATGTTTAATGTTGGATGTTTAATTGTGATGTTTGATTTGGGACAAATTTAAGATGAGATTAATTTAGGTTGCATACCACAGTAGCTACTCTAAAGAACAGAGACACCCAAACATTGGCCAATAATAAAATCTGATTTTCAAAGAACAAAAACAAAAAGAAAAGAAGTTTCTTTACAAGAGGTACAATGACTTCTCAATTATCACCTTGGAGTGAAGAGAAATGGTCATCTGGCCCGGCGCGGTGGCTCACGTCTGTAATCCTAGCATTTGGGAAGGCTGAGGTGGGTGGATGGCCTGAGGTCAGGAGTTCAAGACAGGTCTGGCCAACATGGCAAAACCCTGTCTCTACTAAAATACAAAAATTAGCCAGGTGTGGTGGTGCACACCTGTAATCCCAGCTACTCAGGAGGCTGAGGCAGGAGGATCACTTGAGCCTGGGAGGCAGAGGCTGCAAGTGAGCCAAGATCATGCCACTGTACTCCAGCCTGGGCTACAGAAGGACACTCTGTCTAAAAAATGAAAACAAATGATCATCCAGCAATAGAAGTGATCACCTTTTACTCAAAAACTCATTTACGATGCATACACACAAAACAAACTTACTCCCTCCCATTTTTAACACACAAAAGAAGTAATCATCTGTTAGTTTAGATATCCTCACAGAATTTGAGCCTGTCTTGTAAGATACCACATATTAATGTGCTATCTTTCTTGATAATCAACTGCCAATCGAATCTTGATAATCAATTGCAAACGAAGGCGTAAGAGAAAAAAAATGAAGTCTACACAATGGCAATCAGCCAGTGCCGACAATCAATCAGTTACTGTACAATCAAAAGGATTCCATTTGGGGCAGGAAAAGAGATTAGGTTACCCATGAGATCTTTTTTTAGCACAAGAATCCTACGCGCCTGTTCAAAGGAGAAGTCTGAACTATTGTTTCTTTCTCATGCAGATATTTTGAAAAAATACGAGGCTTGTCATCATTCTTGTAAAACCTGCAATGGATCTGCAACCCTGTGCACCTCATGTCCCAAAGGTTAGTATGTTGTGTGACAGAAGATGGCAGCAGTCAAGCCAATTCATTGAAACTCACAGGTAGTAGCCTGGGCAACATAGTGAGACCCCACCTCTATAAAAAAAATTAGAAATTAGCTGGGCACAGTGGCATGTCCCTGTAGTTCCAGCTACTTGGGAGGCTGAAATGAAGGATTGCTTGATCCCAGGAGGTCAAGGCTGCAGTGAACCATGATCATGCCACTGCACTCCAGCCTGGGTGACAGAGCAAGACCCTGTCTCCAAAGGAAAAAAAAAAAAAAAAAAAGTTTCTTTTTTTTTTTTTTTTGAGGCAGAGTTTCGCTCTTGTTACCCAGGCTGGAGTGCAATGGCACAATCTTGGCTTACCACAACCAGCACCTCCTGGGTTCAGGCAGTTCTCCTGTCTCAGCCTCCTGAGTAGCTGGGACTACAGGCACGCGCCACCATGCCCAGCTAATTTTTTGTATTTTTAGTAGAGACGGGGTTTCACCATGTTGACCAGGATGGTCTCGATCTCTTGACCTTGTGATCCACCCGCCTCGGCCTCCCAAAGTGCTGGGATTACAGGCGTGAGCCACCGTGCCCAGCCAAAAAAAAAGTTTCTTAATGTAAAGGCATGAGGAAGAGGGAGGGAGGAATAAGGGCAACAACATAACAACTTGATAACTTATCAATTGCTTCATCATCTATAAAAACAAAAATCACATATACATAACTTCCCTGAATTAGGGGAATCTTTTACTTAAATGGTACACTGAAATAAAGAATGTTTAAGTGGGCTGGGCGTAATGGCTCAAGCCTGTAATCTCAGCACTTTGGGAGGCTGAGGCAGGAGGATCACTTGAGGCCAGGAGTTGGAGACCAGCCTGGCCAACGTGGCGAAACCCCATCTCTACTAAAAATACAAAAATTAGCCACATGTGTTGGCACATGCCTGTCATCCCAGGCTGCTCAGGAGGCTGAGATATGAGATCACTTGAACCTGGGAGGCAGTGGTTGCTGTGTGCACTCCAACCTGGGTGAAATGCTGTCTCAAAAAAAAAAAAAAAAAAAAAAACACTATTTACATGATCATTATAAAGTCCATGTTGAAATGTACAATGTTAATAATGGGATCTGATACAAAAGCAAAAAAATTTACCATAGGCAAGCCACGACTGTAATCATATTAAATATAAAAGGTTATACTCAAAAAGCTAAAGCATTTTATTAGAATTCTGGGTTTGAATCTTCTGTTAAAAGGAGAATTGGGTGGAAGAGTTGTAACTATGGGCTGGGTGTGGTGGCTCATGCCTGTTATCCCAGCCCTTTAGGACGCCAAGGTGGGTGGATCACCTGAGGTCAGAAGTTTGAGGCCTGCCTGGCCAATATGGTGAAACCTTGTCTCTATTAATTACACAAAAATTAGCCAGCATGGTGGTGCACGTCTGTAGTCCCAACTACCCAGGAGGCTGAAGTAGGAGAGTGGCTTGAACCCAGAAGGCAGAGATTGCAGTGAGCTGAGATCGCACCAGTACACTCCATCCTGGTAGACAGACCAAGACTCTGTCTCAAAAAAAAAACAAAAACAAAAACAAAAAACGTTGCAGCTATGTTAGTGTCCTAACAAGACGGGGTTTGGGGAAGCAGAATATTAATAGATTCTATCAAGCTGGGTATGTACAGCTGCCTTACACCAGGAAGACACAGACAGGGTGTTAATAAGACTGATCAGCTGGGCAAAGGGAAGCCCCATCATGATCTATACCTAATATCTGGAGAAAAGGAAAGAAACAGGAAAAGCCTCTTGCTGTCAAATTACCTTTCTAGAAATGTAACTCATCCTGGAGGACTTAGCATCACTACTAAATATTTTGGTAAGCCTGAAATAAGTGCCTGGATACTTTGGTCTTTGGAAAGGCTAAAAAGGCCATGTCCCTGCATGGAGAAACACATAATGACTAGTCCTGTCTTCCCTCTTCCCTGGATTTCTAGGTGCATATCTGTTGGCTCAGGCCTGTGTTTCCTCCTGTCCTCAAGGCACATGGCCCTCTGTAAGCAGCAGCAGATGTGAGAACTGTACAGAGACCTGTGCCGTCTGCTCTGGAGCCAGTCTTTGTGAAAAGTGCCAGATGCAGCCTGGCCACCCTCTCTTCCTCCATGAAGGCAGGTGCCTCTCCAAGTGCCTGGAGTAAGTTTCCTTTTTTCCTTTACTTCATGTTTGTAATCACTCTCCTATGGTCCTTTGGGAGCAATTCCTTCTTATTCACCAAAAAACTCCTTGGCTCTGTGAGTGCCCACATAAATATCCTCTGTTGACTGCTGTGGGCCACAGCAGACTTACGTGAGGCCAGATGCCCACTTCTCCTTTGTGACTATTTTATGCGTATACTTTTACTTTTATGAAACATATGGTCAGGGGCTGGGTGTAGTGGCTCACGCCTGTAATCCCGACACTTCAGGAGGCCAAGGTGGAAGGATCGCCAAGAGTTTGAGACCAGCCTAGGCAACATAGCAAGACTCAGTCTACAAAAAATTTAAAAATTAGCCAGTGGGTGCCTGCAGTCCCAGCTACTTGGGAGGCTGAGGCGGGAGGATCCTTTGAGCCCAGGAGTTCAGGACTGCAGCAGTGAGCTATGAGTGTGCCACTGCTCTCCAGCCTGGATGACAAAGCAGGACCCTGTCTCTTAAAAAAAAAAAAAAAGTTCCTTTCCCATCTTGTATTAAGGAACAACTGTTGTCAGTCTTTTTTCCCCATTACTAAAGTAAGACTGTGATGTGAGTCTCTTCTACAGGTTTAAATAGGTGAAGCATTAATTTTAATAAATAACACCTGCTTAGTTGTTTATTAATTCCTCCTGGTTTCCTTGGTCTCCTGGTTTATCATTGCTTTACTCTCCCTATCAATGGTCCCACCTCCAGAATTTACATAAGAAGAAAGTGAGAAATAGCAAATGAAAGGTCCGGCAAGAAACTTTCAGCAATAAGCAACAGAAATGCCAAGTAAAATGACTGAGACACAGCAGGGTGTACTATCTCGCAAACAAAAAGGTTGGAAGTCCAGCACTGGTCACTTCAGCGGCCAAAAAGCTCCTCAGAAAGCCGTTTTTCTGTTTTGCTCTTGTACCTTAGTTCGTCAGCTCTGACTGGCGCCGATACTGAGCCCACACCATCTGTCTCCACTCTGGACCCTGTCGCCCCATGCAGCCACGACCAGGGCCAGGAAAGGCGACGTTTCCCTTTGTGGATCCCTTTCTTGAGAGAAAAGAAAATTTCTGCAGACCTCCCTTCTAATCTCAATAGCAAGAATGCATCACTAATACCTCCCTAAATCAATCTTTGGCAAAGAGAATGAAAACATAAGGACTGGACTGGCTTAGGCTGAACAAGATTCACCCCTGAACACCCAAATCAGAACTCTGACAGCCATGAAGAATGCAGAGAGGGAGGCAGAAAATGAATTTGGGGAAGTAACCGGCAGTGTCTACTTTAAGGAATTAGAATTCTCATCTGCCCTCTTATTAGAAGAATTTGATTTAAACGACACCCGTTTCTTAATGACCTATTTTTTTTCATTACTGAGACAGACTCTGTGGAGTATAAACTGTGGTATTTGCACTCAAAAAGCGTCCAATCTAGTGTAGAAGCCAAGCATATTCAGTTCAATAACACAGATCCTATTTAGCACCAACTAGGTATAAAAATTGATACTGATACAATATCAATGTATTATATTGTGTATGTGTAGCTCAGTGGAGTATATTTCTCTACCAACAACTGATATTGGTATTGATATTGATATGGAAAGCTAAGTTAAAACCAAGTGAAGGAAGTCTGAGTCTGCAAAAGCCTTACAATCCAGTAACAGAGATTTATATCAGTCAGCATCACACTTCTCAGGGCCTTAATATACAAAGAGGTAAGAGATTCTCCAAAGGAAAACACATTTTAAATCACCTTATTTTTAATGCTTGCAATGTCCAGGTATTGTGCTAAGAGCTTTAAATGTATGATCCCATGAATTCTCACAAGAATTCTCTTATCCACATACTATTATTTTCCCTCATTTCATAGATGAAGAAAAGAATATCAGGCTTGATTTTATCCATCAAATACACAGTATGGCCAGAATTTGAACCAAACATCTCTGGCACTGAAGTCCAGGTGCTTAACTATCACTCAATGCTGCCTTCTTGTACAATTGAGTATTTTTTTAAATCACAACTTTATTGAGATATAATTCACACACAATTCACCCCTAAAAGTGTATAATTCACTGGTTTTTAGCATATTCACAGAGTTATGCAACCATTACCACAATCAATTTTAGAACCTTTTCATCAATCCAGAAAGAAACCCTATACCCTTTTAGCTGTTATTCCCACTTTTTCCATTTCCCCAGCCCTAAGTAACCACTATCTCTATAGATTCACTATTCTTGGACATTTCCTATAAATGGGCTTACATAAAATGTGTTCTTTTAGCCAACCGTGGTGGCCATGGTGCACAGCTATATTCCCAGCTATCAGGAGCCCAAGACTGGAGAATTGCTTGAGCCCAGGAGTTCAAGGCCAGCCTGGGCAACATAGCAAGACCCTACTCTGAAAACAAAAACAAAATATATAAAACCAAAAAGACAAAACACGGGTATTTTATTGTTGTTGTTGTTGTTGTTGTTGTTGTTTTGCAATCCACTTTTTGACTTAGCATAATGTTTTCCAGCTTCATCCCCAGCTGGGTACTTGAGCTTGAGGGTCACTAGCTCTGGAAGGATTTTGTCCAGCAGAGAGTGGAGGAAGGGTAGCAAAGGGTCAGAGTAAGAGAACCCGAGTGACAAGGCAGGTCAGGAAAATCCCAGTCCTCATTCCCTAGCAACCGAGCTCCGCCCCACCCAGCCAAATCAGCCAAGTGTTTCAATAAAGCAAAGGTGAAGGTCAGGGATCTGCTTACCAGAGTCAGTCATTGCTTTCTCAGTGGTAGGATTGAACTCCTTGTCATTATTATTGCCTTATTTATTTAATCATTACCTTTTTCAACTCCCTCTTGGATTCTTTGAATATTCCAGGAATTGCCAAAGCATTGAAACAAGGAAGAAAGATGTATTTTGCTTTACTCCAGTTAGCTGATTGCTCAACAATTGTTTCCGCCACGCCTGGGTTGAACCATTCTCATGGAACAATGGGACACTATGAAGATATACAGCCATCAAGAGAGTCTGTATTTTTTTTTGAGCAGTAGGAAAGTTACTAGCGTGGCCTAGGAATATTGCCGAATTACAAGCATATGTCGTCCTGTTATGGGTCGGATGATCTGATTATGGCAGAATCCCTCATCTTTGTGTTTACAGGGAAAAAAAACCAACAACAGAAGATACAGAGTCTGAGGAACATATAATATCCAGTTTATCTTGGGAAGCTTTATTGCTGTTTCTAAGAATCACACTTTGGGTGTGATCCATCCTAGAACAGCAATAACATTTATAACAGGAACATAACCTGCAATGACACACCATCCAGATATTCAGAGTTATTTGTAAGTTAGCAAATATAGTATTTGTTCATGAAAAAAAGCGTGTTTTTTTTTTCTTTCTTTCTTTCTTTTTTTTTGAGATGGAGTCTTGCCCTGTCACCCAGGCTGGAGTGTAGTGGCATGACCTCGGCTCACTACAACCTCCGCTTCCCAAATTCAAGCGATCCTCCTGCCTCAGCCTCCCAAGTAGCTAGGATTACAGGTGCCTGCCACCATGTCTGGCTGGTTTTTTGTTTTGTTTTGTTTTGTTTCAGTATCTTTAGTAGAGACAGAGTTTCACCATGTTGGCCAGGCTGGTCTTGAACTCCTGACCTTGTGATCCACCTGCCTCAGCCTCCCAAAATTCTGGGATTACAGGCATAAGCCACCACACCTGGCCAAAAAAAAAATGTTTTAACAGTAATATATATCTTTTTTTTTTTTTTTTTTTTTTTGAGACAAAGTTTCACTCTTGTTGCCCAGGCTGAAATGCAATGGCTTGATCTCTACTCACTGCAACCTCCGCCTCCTGGGTTCAAGTAATTCTGAAGCCTCAGCCTCCCAAGTAGCTGGAATTACAGGTGCCTGCCCCCACACCCAGCTAATTGTTTGTATTTTTAGTAGAGATGGGGTTTCACCATGTTGGCCAGGTTGGTCTCGAACTCCTGACCTCAGGTGATCCACCCACCCTGGCCTCCCAAAGTTCTGGGATTACAGCCGTGAGTCACCCTACCCGACCCACTGTAGCTTTTTTAAATCTTAGTAACAACTTTTTGGTTTTTTTTTTTGGTTTTTTTTTTGAGACAGAGTCTCTCTCTGTCACCCAGACTGGAGTGCAGTGGCACCATCTCCGCTCCCTGCAACCTCCCCTGCCGGGTTCTAGTGATTCTTCTGTCTCGGCCTCCATATTTTATATAGGCATGCACCACAATGCCCGGCTAATTTTTGTATTTTTTAGTAGAGATGGGGTTTCACCATGTTGGCCGGGATGGTCTCGATCTCCTGTCCTCGAGATCCACCCGCCTCAGGCTCCCAAAGTGCTGAGATTATAGGCGTGAGCCATCTGGTCTGGCCAGTAGCTATCTTTTGAAGGAATAGAATGGGAGGCAGGTTTGCCCTAAGCACTTCCCAGTTTGACTTTTCCCTTTGGCTTAGTGATATTAGGGTCCCAAGATTTATTTTCCTTTCACAAGAATAATGCCTGTCCTTTTCCTTTCATTTTTCTGAGTGTTCTTTTTCACTTCCTCATAAATCCGTGGATGCCTCTCAGCTGACAACAGCAGAAGCCCTTTTGTTTTTAGCCCTAATTCCTTTCCCCCAGGAATGAATCACTTCTCCAGCAGGTCAGCTTCTCCAGCTGTGCTCTCTCTTCCTTCCACAGGGGCTTCTATGCAGAAGACGGCGTATGCGAACGCTGTAGCTCTCCTTGCAGAACGTGTGAAGGAAATGCCACCAACTGCCATTCTTGTGAAGGAGCCCTCGTCCTGCACCACGGAGTGTGCCAGGAAACCTGCCCTGAGAGGCACGTGGCTGTGGGGGGGGTGTGCAAGCACTGCCCAGAGATGTGTCAGGACTGCATCCATGAGAAAACATGCAAAGGTACCTGGGAGCTTTCCATGGGAGAGCGAGGCTCTGCTGAGCCACCCGGTGGGGCTGATTATCTGAGGGTAGATGGCAAAGAGCTGCGGGAACCATTTGCCCTACCTTTCCCAAAAGGTATGTCTCTGTGCCTGTCATCAGAGAAATTGAGGGTGAGATACACCCTTTTCTTTACGGATGCTGCAAGCTAAGACAAGCAAGAGCCCTTTTCTGCATGATTTCTTACACACTCACATGTACGCACAGGTGTGCAAGTGCTATCCTAAGTGCTAGAGATACAGAGAAAAACTTAATGTTCCCTTTCTTTTTGTTTTTTGGGTTTTGAAATGGAGTTTCACTCGTCACCCAGGCTGGAGTGCAATGGTGAGATCTCAGCTCACCGCAACCTCTGCCTCCCGGATTCAAGTGTTTCTCCTGCCTCAGCCTCCTGAGTAGCTGGGATTACAGGTGCATGCCACCATGCCCAGCTAATTTTGTATTTTCAGTGGAGACCGGGTTTCTCCGTGTTGGTCAAGCTGGTCTCTATCTCCTTACCTCAGGTGATCCACCTGCCTCAGCCTCCCAAAGTGCTGGGATTAGAGGCATGAGCCACCGGGCCCAGCTGTTCCCATCTTTTTGAACATAAAATCTTACAGACTGCTAGTAAACCACAAAACACAGAAGTAGCTAGAAAATTGAAATTGTTTGGCCAGGTGCGGTGGCTTATGCCTATAATCCCAGCACTTTGGAAGGCAGAGACGGGTGGATCACCTGAGGTCAGGAGTTCAAGCAGTCTGGCTAATGTGGTGAAATCCCGTGTCTACTAAAAACAAATATACAGGGCTTGGTGGTGCATGCCTATAGTCCCCACTACTCGGAAGGCTGAGGCCAAAGAATCACTTGAACCGGGAGGCGGAGGTTACAGTGAGCCGAGATTGCACCATTGTACTCCAGCCTGGTGTCAGAGCGAGATTCCTCAAAAAATAAGAAGAAAAAAATAAAAAATAGGCCAGGCGTGGTGGGGGCGCCTGTAATCCTAGCTACTCTGGAGGCTGAGGCAGGAGAATTGCTTGAACCCAGGAGGCAGAGGTTGCGGTGAGCCGAGATCATGCCTTTGCACTCCAGCCTGGGTAATAAGAGCAACACTCTGTCTAAAAAGAAGAAAACTACAATTGTTAAAAAGGGTAAGGAAAAAAAAAAGTTTGGCCAACTATGACTGAGATGACCACTCTGGCTATGACCAAGTTTTGTTGTTTTTTCCCTCAGGAATTATATCCCCCAAAAAGCTGTTCAATTTTCTCTCCAGAATAATAATACAGACTGATTTAACTGGTGCTGCCCTATCCAAATTGTTCTCTTGGTGTGACCTCAAGTGTTTTCTAGGATTCCCTCCAAAGTAAGAAAATGAACACAAATAAAATAAACCCACAACGTATTCTTCACACTGATCAAACCTTTATGCATTGTGGTACCTGAACAATGAATGAAAAGTTAACTAATCCAACCATTCCTGAACTGCTTTCTGTATTGAACAGAGTGTGAAGGTCTCAATACAACTTTTAAAATCTCAATACAACTTTTAAAATCTGTTCATGCTTTTTGGGTTTTTCGAACAATACCGCCAGCCTCTCAGCCATCCCCGTCTTCTGCAGCATTGCAATTTTTTGCACCTCCAAAGGGCAGACCATTTCACTGTGTAAGTCCAGCACCATCTAATATGGTCACCATGTGTAGCCTCCCCCTATCAAGCCAGGGCTTGTGAGATATCAAGTCTATACCCTGGCAGGTGGGGGAAGGGTAAGCATACTCTCAGGTCAAATCAACTAGAGTGCTGAGCGGGGAGCTAGCCCACTGCAGAAACAATGAATTCCTTTCCCCCGGAGGTAACTTGCTGCTTCCTGCTTTCACCAGAGTGCATGCCTGAGTTCTTCCTGCACAATGATGTGTGCCACCAGTCCTGTCCCCGTGGCTCCTATGCGGACTCACGCCGCTGTGTCCCCTGCCATAAAGACTGCCTGGAATGCAGTGGCCCCAACGCTGACGACTGCGAGCTCTGTCTTGAGAGTTCCTGGGTCCTCTACGATGGGCTGTGCTTGGAGGAGTGTCCGGCAGGAACCTATTATGAAAAAGAGACTAAGGAGTGCAGAGGTAAAGACTTCTGGGATTCAAAATAGGCTCCAGGGTTTGCACAATTCCAGCCCAGGCCCAGGCCCAGGCCCAGAGCTGTCATCTCAATCTTTTTTTTTTTTTTTTTTTTTTTCGAGACAAGGTCTCCCGTTGCTGCCCAGGCTTGAGTTTAGTAGTACAAACATGGCTCACTGAAGCCTCCGTCTCTTGGGCTCAAGTGATCCTCCCACCTCAGTCTCCAGAGTTGCTGGGGATATAAAGATGAGATCTCAGAATGTTGCCCAGGCTGGTCTAGAACTCCTGGCTTCATCAAGCAATCCTCTACGTCGGCCTTCCAAAGTGCTGGGATTACAGGTGTGAGCCACTGTGTCCAGCCCATCTCATCCTTTACCCCCTCACTCAAGGAGTCATATTGTGAATCAGTTGTAAATTTTCTTTTAAATGAATTGCTCATAAGCTTTGTACAGGTAACTTATATTAGTGACAAATCACATGGACCTTCCTCACCACAGTGGCTATGAACTGCTGATCAAAATAACATTCTCATATGAAGATTTACAGCAGAGAGGAGGAATCTTCAAAAGCCACCCAAGACTTTTCTTGAAATGTTAAGCCATTGAAAGTGTATAGCACAAGCAAACTGTGTCACCATAAAGGACTTTCTTGGTGCCTCTTGTCTTTCTCCATGGTTTTTGTTTTGTTCTTTGTTTTTTGAGACAGAGTCTCACTCTGTCGGCTCGAGTGCGGTGGCATGATCTCAGCTCACTACAACCTCCGCCTCCTGGGTTCAAGCAATTCTCCTGCCTCGGGCTCCCGAGTAGCTGGGACTATAGGCACGTGCCACCGTGCCTGGCTAATTTCATATTTTTAGTAAAGATGGGGTTTCACTATGTTGTCTAAGCTGGTCTCCAACTCCTGACCTCAAGTGATCCACCCACCTCAGCCTCTGAAAGTGTTGGGATTACAGGCGTGAGCCACTGCACTTGGCCCATGTTATTTGTTGTTGTTTTTGAGATGGAGTCTCTCTCTGTTGCCCAGGCTGGAGTGCAGTGGCATTATCTCAGCTCACTGCAGCCTCCACCTCCTGGGTTCAAGTGATTCTCCTGCCCCAGCCTTCTGAGTAGCTGGGACTACAGGCATGCACCACCACACCCACTAATTTTTGTATTTTTAGTAGAAATAGGATTTCACCATGTTGGCCAGGCTGGTCTTGAACACCTGACCTCAAGTAATCTGCCCTCCCCACCTCCCCCTTATGCTTTAACTCCGCTTGAAACATTTGCCTCTTATTCATTATCAAGGGACAGAAAAATAAGTTATGCATTACTAGAATTCTCTAGCAAGTGAGAGAAACGTGTGGTCAGTGGGCTTTTTCAGAGCCCCAGGATCTACTCCGGTTAGGCAGCCAGCAGCCCCTCACCCCTCTATGTCACCCCCAAGCAAACACAAGACAGATGTCTGCTGGCAGTTCCCCTAACAACCACGAGAGCAAGAGACTGACCTTCCACTGAGAAACCCTGAGACACCCACGCCCTAGGACATACTCAGGGGAAGGTTTTTGGTAGGACATGAAGCTGTGTCTCAGTCCCGAAGGCTTTCTGCTCTAGCCTTGTGATTCGGATACGCCTTTTTGTGTTTTATATGAAGCATTATTTAGTGTTAATGTCCTACCTGCTCACAGGTGAAAAAGCACAAGGCTGTGCCCACATGCAGAAGAGGTGGGCATTCGCGGGTCTGGGGATGGCTTCTGGGAGGTGAGAGACTCAGCCACAGGCCTTCGACGCCATCTTGCCTGTGTGAGGGCAGGAAGTGAGGTTGAACTTCCGGCCTTTCTCTGATGTTCAGTAATGAAAGTAATTTACCATACAGAGAGCGTTACAGGTGTCAGAGCATGTTTTCTTAATTTACCTGATTTAATTATCTTGAAAAAGGCGCCTGGTTGCTCATTGAAATCACCTGGGCAGCCCTAAAAACCACAGATGCCTGCACCCAACATTTTAATTCCTCCTCCCACCCCCAGCAATTCTGATGCTTAGCGTGGGTTGAGAGCCACTGAGGTATATGGCAATTTTCTCCATTTTCCTGAGAAGGAAATAGATGCTTTAAGAAGCTAAGCACCTGCTCAATGTGACCCCAATAGTGAGGACAGAGTTGGAAACTCACTTGACGTGTCTCCCTACAGTGTGATTGCACTTTGTACCAGACCAAAGCGGGAAAAAGGAATGTGGTATTGGAAGAAACACAGAGACAACCTGAGTTTCCAGAGAGATGACACAAAGAACCCGATCTGAAAATTAAGATTTGGTGAGGTGTAGAAAAGCATTTAGAATGAAGCAATCTCAGCTGGGGACGGTGGCTCGCACCTGTAATCTCAACACTTTGGGAGGCCAAAGCTGGAGGATGACTTGAGTCCAGAAATTTGAGACCAGCCTGGGCAAGATAGCAAGACCCTGTTTCTTAAAAAAACAATAATAATATAAAAATTAGCCAGATGTGGTGGTGTGCACCTGTGGTCCCAGCTACTCAAGAGGCTGAGATGGGAGATCGCTTTAGCCTGGGAGGTCAGTGCTTCAGTGAGCCATGATCACATCACTGCACTCTAGCCTGGGAAACAGAGCAAGACCCTAGAGCTAAATCAATCAACCAACCAACCAATCAATCAATCTCTAAGCAGGATCTTCTCTAAGAAACTCAAGGACTTTAGATCCATTCTGATCACCCAGATTATCCCTTAATAGATTGAGTACAGACACCTCTAAAAGTCCCATACCTTTCCTGAGGCACTGGGGCAGAAGTAGCGAGGCAGTGGCTGAGGTCCTGGGTTCAACTGCAGATACTATGTAGCGTAAGTGACTCAGCATCTCCAGCCCAATTTCCTGATTTAGATAAAATGAGAGGATAATATAAACAATAATGATACGATGCATCTGTTCACCCAGGGAAGGCTTACTGGGGGCCTGCTATGTGGTCTTTCAGGCCTGGGGAACAGCAGGGAGTGAGACAAACAGAGTCCCTGCCCTCATAGAACTCACATTCTATTAGGGAAGACAGGCACTAAAGACCATAAGCCAAGGGCAAAAATAAGGCAGAGGGGCAGGACAGGAAGATAGGCAGAATGGAGATAAAACTCAAGGTGTCTTAGAAGATTTCATTGAGAAAGGGAGGAAGCAAACACTGTGTGCATCTGGGAGAAGAGAATTCCAGGAAGAGAGAACAGCAGCTACTAAAATCCAGAAATGGTCAGCCTGGTGCAGTGGCTCATGCCTGTAATCCCAGCCCTTCAGAAGGCCAAGGCAGGAAAATTACGAGGCCAGGAGTTCAAGACCAGCCTGGGCAGCAAAGTGAAGCACCATTTCTCTCTTTTTTTTTTTTTTTTTTTTTTTTTTTTTTTTGAGGCAGGGTCTCACTCTGTCACCCAGGCTGGAGTACAGTGATACGATCACAGCTCACTGCAGCCTTGACCTCCTGGGCTCTGGTGCTCCTTCCACCTCAGCCTCCTGAGCAGCTGGGACTACAGGCACACATCACCATGCTAATTTTTGTGGTTTTTGTAGAGACTGTTTCACCATGTTGCTCAGGCTGCTCTCGAACTCCTGGGCTCAAGCAATCCACCCACCTTGGCCTCCTAAAGTGCTAGGGTTTCGGGCATGAGCCACTGCACCCGGCCCCCATCTCTAATTAAATTTTAAAAAAGAAAAGAAAAAGAAAACCTAGAGGTACAAGTGAATTGTTATTTATCTTTGTCTAACAAAGACTTATTGAGTCCTGCTATCTGCCAGGTCCTCTCACAGGCACTATGTATGCAAAAATAAATGCAAAAGGGACCTTTATTTGTCAACAGACAATTAAATACGTTCCTACAACTGCTGTACTCGTGATAAGCTCAAGGTATTCCAGAGGTGAGTGGAGGATCATAACAGGAGGTGTTACAATGGTGGAAAAGGTGCTGTTACAGAATGGCTTGTTATTATTTTGCTGCAGTTTGGGTAATTATAGTGAGCCTTACTAATATTTCTGAGGTGGCTGTTGCAGGAAGGCACTCCTTGGATACCACAGAGAAAATAAAATAATTTTCTCTCATTTTGCAAAAGAATGGTCCACCCCAGAGTTCAAGGGCTGTACCCAACTTGTTGGCCTAGAGCTCTGGAAATCTCTGGAAGAAATGTGGAAGGACTGTGAACATTCTTTGCAAGGGGAAGCCATTCCTCCAAGGACCACCCTGACCCTCGCTCACTCTGTCTGCCACCCCTCCACGCCCGCAGATTGCCACAAATCCTGCTTGACCTGCTCATCATCTGGGACCTGCACTACCTGTCAGAAAGGCCTGATGAAGAACTCCCGTGGGAGCTGCGTGGCCATTGAGGAATGCAGTCCCGACGAGTACTGGGATGAGGATGCTACTAGGTGCAAGCTCTGCCACGCTAAGTGCTTCCACTGCACGGGGCCGGCGGAGGACCAGTGCCGCACGTGCCACAGGGACAGCCTGCTTCTCAGTGAGTTACTTCTCCAAGGAGGGCTTTGTGTTTCCCTCCCTCTGGGAAACTTCCTCAAACACTGCCTTGTCCAGTAGATCCTGGCTTCTTTCTTTTTAATTTTTTGCTTTGTGTTTGGGAAATGATGCAAGAGTGAGAACCATACAAAGAACAGCGCACGGATGGGCTTCACCCAGTTTGCCCATTGCTCATCTTCTACCCCATTTGCTTTATCATTTGTTTGCGGCGCTCTCTCCCTTCTCGCCCGTTCTATCACACTCTCTCACTCTCTCGGTGTATACATGTACATCATTCCCAATATTATTTTTTTGAAGCCATTTGTGGGCAAGTTACATAGATCGTGGCCCTTTTCCCGTAAATATTTTAGTACCTATTTCCTCAAATTCGTGTTATTTTCTCACATAACCACAGGATAGTTACCAACTCTGGTAAATTTTCCGTTCATACGATACTTTAGTACACTCTCCATATTAAAATTTTGTCAGTTCCCCTTTAGGTCTAGAGTCACTTGTTTCATTTCACTTCCATGTCCCCCCATTTTGTTGTTGCTGTTGTTTTCGGTTTTTTTGGTTGTTTTGGTTTGTTTTATTTTCTGAGAAGTCTCACTCTGTTGCTCAGGGTGGAGTGCAGTGGTATGATCTCAGCTCACTGCAACCTCTGCCTCCTGGGTTCAGGCAATTCTCATGCCTCAGTCTCCTGAGTATCTGGGACTGCAAGTGGGCACCACCACATCCGGCTAAATTTTTTTTGTATTTTTGGTAGAGATGTGGTTTCACCATGTTGGCCAGGCTGGTCTTGAACTCCTGGCCTCAAGCAGACTGCCCTCCTCAGCCTCCAAAAGTACTGGAATTACAGGTATGGGCCACTGCACCCAGCCACTTTTTTGTTTAAGAGAAAGGCGGCCAGGCGTGGTTCCCAGGCTGCTGGAGTACACTGGCATGATCATGGCTTACTGCAGCCTTGAACTCCTAGGCTGAAGAGATCCTCCTGCCTTAGCCTCCCAAGTAGATGGGATGGGATTACAGGCATGAGCCACCATGCCTGGCCCTTCCATGTCATGTCCAGCTAATTTCTTTTTAAGAGACAAGGGTCTCACTGTGTTCCTCAGGCTGGTCTCAAATTCCTGGGCTCAAGCTATTCTCCTGCCTCAACCTCCCAAAGTGTTGGGATTACAGGCGTGAACCACTAAGCCAGGGCCTTCCATGTCCCTTTAGCCTCCTTTAATCTGAAATGTTTCCATGGGCTTTCTTTCTCTTTCACAATATCAATGCTTTAGACAAATACAGTCTTCATTTTTCCTTTTGGATGGGTATGAAGTTGCCCTGTGATCAGCTGCAGAGTGGGTGCTTGGCCAGAGTACTTCACAGGGTTGTTGTGTCCTCCAAGAGTCACACCTGGAGGTGCACGATCTCGGTGGTATTAATGTTGATCATCTGACCAAGATGTCCAGTTTCCCTAATGCACAATTACTATTTATTCCCTTGTAATTAATAACAATTAATAGTAATTACTGTTTAGTCCCTTGTAATTAATAGCCCAGGTTGGGTGCAGTGGCTCATGCCTATAATCCCAGCACTTTGGGAGGCCAAGGCAGGTGGATCACAGGGGCAGGAGTTCAAGACCAGACTGGCCAACATGGTGACACCCCATCTCTACTAAAAAGTACAAAAATTAGCTGGGCATGGTGGCTTGTACCTGTAATTCCAGCTACTTGGGAGGCTGAGGTAGGAGAATTTCTTGAACCAGGGCCTGGGAGGCAGAGATGGCAGTGAGCCGAGATCTCACCACTGCACTCCAGCCTGGCCTACACAAAGCGAGACTCCATCTCAAAAAAAAAAAAAAAAAAAGTAGCCTGTGGGCTTACACTTTAAGAACATGTAGATATTCAGTTCCTCATCAAAATTTCCCCTCCATGTAGCATGGCTCATTAAGAAATCTTCTTAAGTAAAATGTGGCACAGTTCAAGGTTGGCCATGTCCCTCAGATCAGATTTGAAGGTTATTGCTAATACGAAGCAATGTCCTCAGGTTTCCCGGGATACTGTGACTAGGCTTAAAACAAGCAAGGGAGAAAGAAAATGAAATAAAACTTAACCAAAAAAGAAGCCATAGGAGACAGAAGAAACAGATGAATATGGTGAAGACCAGGAAGTATGAGCACTCTTCTCCCCTACCAGAAGGGTGAAACTCCAAATAGACATATGTGGTAGGCTGGGCGCAGTGGCTCACGTCTGTCATCTCAGCACTTTGGGAGGTCGAGGCAGAAGGATTGCTTGAGCCCAGGAGTTCAAGGTCAGTTTGGGCAACATAGTGAGACTTCATCTCTACAAAAAAATAAAAAATCAATTAAAATTTACAATTTAAAATTTTTAAACATTAAAGGAAATGTTTTAAAGATATGTACGGCAAGCTTTTCTTCATGTTGAGCAAGGACGCCATCCCCCTGCTAAGACACAGGGAGACCCGTTCTCAGTATCATTCCTGATCATTTCACAATAGAAAACACTCAAAGAAACCAGTCTTCGCTCTCCAGCTGCCTTAGCTCCTGGTCCACAAATCTCTGTGACTCTCCTTCCCAGCACTTGCTGCTTCGCAAAAGCATTCCCTCCAGCCACGTCTCCCATGTACTCTCACCCCTTGGGACCTTCTTTTCTACTTATCTCCAATCTAGAGTACCACCAGTAATCATCTAAGATGCCTTCATACAGAGGAGAAGACATCTTGCTTCCACAAAGTGGTCTTCCCCTCGATGGAAGCTGTAGATTAGACTAGAACTGAGGCTTCAGCGCTGGTGTAGGACACAGAGCTGTAGCCCCCTGGGGATGGGCCCAGATTTGCTCAGCCTGGTCTCCTCACATTCTCTCCACCCTGTCCCACACCACCACACCACCAGGGTCAGGCTATTTATAAACTAGATACTTTTTTGGACGTTGTGGTAGACTGGATAATGGCCGCCCTGAAGATGTCACATCCTAATCCCCAGATCCTGTCAATGTATTACTCTGCTTGGTAAAAGGGACTTTGGGGCTGTGATTTAATTAAGGATCTTGGCATAGAGAGATTATCCTGAATTATCCACTTAGGCTCAAAGCCATCACAAGGGTCTGATAAGAGAGATGCCAGGGGATCGGAGTCAGTAGAAGAAGGTGATGTGATCAGAAGCACAGGGACAGAGAGAAGATACTGCACTGCTGCCTTTGAAGACTGAAGAAGGGGCCATGAGCCAAGGCATGGAGGTGAACTCTACTGAGTGGAAAAGGAAATGAAACAGATTCCCTCCTAGAGCCTCTAAAGTGAACAGAGCCCTGTGGGTCTGTTTGGACTTCTGACCTCCTAGAAAAGTAATAAATTGTTGTTTCAAGCCCCCAAAGCAGGGATACTTTGTAAGAACAGCAGTAAGAGACTAATATAGAGGTATTCTTCCTTTAGGAAACTAGAGCTTCCCCCTAGTTAACCGGATACATGAGCTGGACAATGAGCCGTGGCCAGCATCCACAGTCGCTGGACTATAGTTTCTGTTCTACCCACCACGGCTAATCCACTGTGACCTCTGTTTTCCTTGTATTCCTCATGGCCTTAGGGCAGTTCTGTTTCTCGGACACTCATCTTAGTTCCCAAGCATATCCATCAACTCACAGGGACATTGTCCCATTCCTCCTGGAGCCCTCTCCTCCCTGCCACCATGGCACACAGGAGGGAGAACACAGGGGAGACATGTGTCATGTTTGATGTCCAGAAAGACTTTCTTCCTCCCATGACAGACACAACCTGTGTGAAGGACTGCCCAGAGGGCTACTATGCCGATGAGGACAGCCACCGGTGTGCCCGCTGCCACAGCTCTTGCAGGACGTGTGACGGGAGACACAGCAGACAGTGCCACTCCTGCCACCCGGGCTGGTTTCAGCTGGGAAAAGAGTGCCTGCTCCCGTGCAGGGAAGGGTAAGTGCTCGATACATTTTCCCCCATGTAATTTCACAGCCACACTGGATATCAACCCATTTTACAAATGAGGAAAGTAAGATTCAGAACACTTAAAAAACCAGGTTGACGTCTCAGTGCTAGCAAGGAGCAAAGATGAACCATTTCACCATAACAGAAGAGAAACAGGAGAGGCAGAGTGACCCAGTGAGTTAACGCAAAGGGTCAGATTGACCGGCCAGACTCACATGAGCAATTGATCTTCCTCAGCAACAGTCCTCACTGATAATTCAAAGCATACTGGCAGCTGGGCCCTGTGGCTCAGGCCTGTAATCCTGCCTACGTGGGAAGTTGAGGCTGGAGGATCACTTAAAGCAAGGAGTTTGAACCAGCCTGGGCAACATAGTGAGACCCCATCTGCAAAATATTAAGATAAGATTAGCTGGGCATGGAGCCATGAGGCTATAGTCCCAGCTTCTATGGGAGCTGAGGTTGGGGATGATGGTCACTTGAACCCGGGAGTTGGAGGCTGCAGTAAGCTATGATTGCACCACTGCACTCCAGCCTCAGTGACAGAGCAAGACCTTGTTTCTAAAAATTAAAACAATTTGGGAAAGGGTCTCAGCAATCACAAGGCAGAGGCAAAGCATCCTTTCCTCAGAGAAGCCCAAGACCATTCATGCAGGTTCTTCAGCTTCGGGATTTGTTCTGATTCACATTTAAAATTCAGGATCTCACATTCTCCCAATCTGCTTATGTGAGGAGAGCAGTGCATGTGGAACAATGATTTACAAAGGAAACAGTTCCATTAACATCTCCACTTATTCCCCATTCATTCTCCAACCTGTCATGCCCTCCATAAATCCACAAATTACAAGTTTTGTTATCATTAACAACCTAGACACACACTTGATGTATCCCTCTAAAAGCATTTCACAGATAAGGACTCTATTATTTTTCTGCTAGGAAAAACTGTGTTATCAGAAGGTCTGATTGCCAGCATATTTGGAAGAGGGTTTGACCGAGTGGTCCTGTTTTGTCCCCCTGGGCATTCCCAGTAAGGAGCAAAAGATTCATAACAGGCCTGTTGCTGACTCTTTCTACCCAATCAATAACCTAGGGCACTGGGAGTTTCCAGACCCACATCGAGGGCTGTAACCTTAGACCTTCCTCAAATACTTTCGCCCAAATAGACACATCTCTTCAGTCCTATAGCAGTTACTGCTTTTTTTATTCATTTTAGTGCTATATGCTGCCTTGCATTTCGATTGATCTCATTCATTCACTTATTTTATTTAACACGTGTCATGACGAGCACTCTGTATGTATGAATAAGATGAATAAGACAAAGATCGACTGTGTTAGTTTGTTTTCACGCTGCTGATAAAGCCATACCCAAGACTGGAATATTTACAAATGAAAGAGGTTTAATTCAACTTATAGTCTCACGTAGATGGGAAGGCCTCACAATCATGGCGGTCGGCAAGTAGGAGCAAATTACATCTTACGTGGATAGTGGCAGGCAAAGAGAGAGAATGAGAATCAAGTGAAACGGGTTTCTCTTTATCAAACCATCAGATCTCATAAGACTTATTCATACCACAAAAACAGCACGGGGGAAACTGCCCCCACAATCTAACCATCTCCCACCAGGTCCCTCCCACAACACATGGGAATTATGGGAGTACAATTCAAGATGAGATTTGGGTGGGACACAGAGCCAAACCATATCACTGACCTTTTAGAGTTTATTTTTATTTCATATGCCTGTTACCCCAAAAATTATAAACTCCTGGAAGAAAAACACCTCTTCTGTCTTACATTTGCTTCTACAACACTCAGCACAGAGCCACAATTAGCAGCTCTTGAAAAACACCAGCCAGGCGGTGGCTCATGCCTGTAATCCCAGCACTTTGGGAGGCCAAAGAGGGCGGATCACAAGGTCAGGAGTTTGAGACCAGCCTGGCCAACAGGGTAAAACCCTGTCTCTACTAAAAATACAAAAATCAGTGTGGCATGGTATCACATACCTGTAATCTTAGGTACTCGGGAGGTTGAGGCAGGAGAATTGCTTGAACCCGGGAGGCAGAAGTTGAAGTGAGCCAAGATCACACCACTGCACTCCAGCCTGGGTGACAGAGCAAGACTATATCTTGGAAATAAGGAAAAACACCAGTCATATAGATCGAGGAAGAAAGGGCCCTGCCAGACAAGAACAGGGATGGATGGCTGGGGACAGTGGCTCATGCCTGTAATTCCAGCACTTTTGGAGACTGAGGCAGGCAGATCACTCGAGGCCAGGAGTTCAAGACCAGCCTGGCCAACATGGTGTAACTCTGTCTCTATTAACAATACAAAAATTAGCAGGGTCTGTTAGCAGGTGCCTGTGATCCCAGCTACTTAGGAGGCTGAGGCATAAGAATTGCTTGAACCTGGGAGGCAGGTTTCAGTGAGCCAAGATCATACCACTGCACTCCAGCCTGGTCAACAGAACAAGATCCTGTCTCAAAAAACAAAAACAAAAACAAAAAATAGAACAGGGATGAAGCTACCTGGCTTAGCCCTTCTGCATCACCATAGTAAGTGTCTAAAAAGACCTGGATCCTGTCTTCCTCAAATCAAGCCAGTAAATATTCTCAAGCACAAAAAGGGTGCTTGATCATCTCGTGATCTAAATAGAATGCAGACCAGGGAATTAAGAAGACAATTGTTCCACAGTGTGTGAAGTTACCCAGGGCTGGTGGGGAGAGGCACAGGTTGTCATAGATCTCTTTAATACAGAAGAAATGGAATATTCATGAGGTATAAGAGGAAAACTCTTCCTTTTATAAAATCAGTGTTCCACATGCTTGCCATAAGCCTCTTATGTTAAACCTCTGCCTTGGGAAAGTAGGTATATACTTCTCTGCACCCTATCCAAACCCACATAATTATTTTGGTGTTTAACTCAGAGAAGTTTCTTAGAAGCCTAGGTTATTGCTTGTGCTTATGCATGAGATACTTTTCAAGGCTGGGAGGCTCAAGAGATGAATCCTCAGAGCAAGCAGTGGTATTGTACTCTTTTAATCTGATCCAGTAAACTCTTCATTGTCTCTTTCAGCCTTACTCCTTGATAACTTTAAAAACCTACTTGGAATTGATAAGCTTTCTTTCGCAGAGTTCCTACTGATGCTTTTCATCTTTATAACGATCTATAATAAAAGCATTAGGTTAAAAAAATTGGGGGATGCTGTTTAAGAGTTAAAAAGTATTTCCACTCACAATGTGTCTTTATATTATTATTTGATTCTGCAACAATCTCATGAGGTTGATATGAGTTCTCTTCATTTTACAGATGAAGGAACTGAGGCCCACAGGGGTAAGTGACTTGCCCGAAGTCACGTAGCTACTAATACATGGCAGAGCCAGGAGTAAAAATTTGATTCCCTCTGCTCTGTGTAGATTTCACTTTTCCCTGATGGTTTCTTGAGTCTTACGTGGCCTTTGTCAACTATTCAGTCCATCATTGCGTTGTCTCTCGGATACAGATTGACACATGGTAGTCATTGTTCTTCACATAACTGCAGAAAGTGAAGCAAGTCTCAAGTTACCACAAGCTGGGCCACTGAGGTACAAGTATACTCACTCAGATCAGTGACAGGTGCCTAAATAGAGGAAGGCTCACCGTAACCTAGGCATGGTATGAGTTTTCAGCAAGTTCATGGAGCTGAATTAGTCTACCAAAAAAGCCTCCGGGGACCTGTAGTTTTGCACCAGAGAAACCAAAGATGAACCTTTAGGTTTCTAGGATAGGTTTAGTGTGCTGATGTCTAGAGATACAGAGATGAATCAGATGACCTTTAGAAGTTCATCCTTAGCAAGAATTTCTTTACCCTCTTTTAACCTCCCAAAGTGTTGGGATTACAGGTTTGAGCCACTGCACCTGGCCTGGATGGATCTTTTAAATGTATCTCTGAATGGCCAGGCCAACATAGTGAGATACCCATATCTATTTAAAAAAAAAAAAAAAAAAAAAAAAACCCTTCCATTCCCTGAGGCCAGCTACTAACCGCAACTTAAAGCACGAATTTGGAGAGGCACCTGGAACAACAAGGCAATGGTAGCTAGTAACGATGTAGGTGCTACGAGGTGTGGTAAGCAGTGGGTCTTTTCATATGTGTTACCCAATTTAATTTTCACAAAGAGTAGGGGAGGGATTGGCCCAGTTTACAGGTAAGAACACTGGGAATCATTGGATTCATTAGTAGCATTAGCGGTGATCTAATGAGTAAGGTAAAGAGGCGAAAGTCACCCAGCTTTTAAATGAAACCGGACTACCATGTTTTCCACCGCAACCAATTTAGGAGCAAAGCTTCGTATGCCATCTTTTCTTCTCCCTTGGTTTCAGATATTACGCAGAAAACTCCACCGGCCGGTGTGAGAGGTGCCACAGGAGCTGCGAGACGTGCCAGGGCCCACAGCCCACAGACTGCCTGTCTTGCGATACATTTTTCTTTCTCCTTCGCTCCAAAGGAGAATGTCATCGCACCTGCCCAGACCATTATTATGCTGAGCAAAGGACACGGACCTGTGAGAGATGCCATCCGACCTGCGATCAATGCAAAGGTGAGAGTCTGTCTGTCATTTTGCACGTGGTATAGAAAAATGAAAGGTTTTCTTCCTTCTTTGCTCCTGTCTCCCTTCTCACCACCTGGAGCTTCCTCCTGCTTTCTCACCTCATGTGTCATCCTCTCTAGCATAAATGCCCTCTGTTTGCTCTTAACTTCCACATCTTCCCTCTAACCTTTGCTGCGCCTGCCCATCCCCCATCCTTCAAGGCCCAGAAACAGACACCATCTCCTCGAGGAAGTATTGTTTGCCCACTCATCATTTTCCTACTCTACCTGTCGAATCACTGGGGGAAACTTGTTTATTTTCATTACTTTCACTATTCCCTGAGACTTCTGCCTCACAATCTCCCAAGCTCCATGCCTCTTTTACAGAAGCCTAGTTGCCTGTCCCAGAGATCCTTAAGGCTCACCATCTATCCACAAGCCTGGGCCAATACTTTGAAGTTCTCCTTGACTCTTCTCCTTCCCTTGTCGCCCCCCCAACCCACCCACCTCCAACAAAGCGAAACTTCACGGTCTGTTGATTCTCTTTCCCAAATAGTTATCTAATGACATCTTCTTCCATTCTCACTATCCTCATTTTCCATTCTCAATATCTAGCATCACACCTTTTGAAGCAGCTGGCTGGTCACCACATCTGAATCTTGTCCCCACACCAGGTCATCTGGTACGCTAATGCCAGAATGATTGTCCTAAAATTCAGATTTCTCGTTTTTCTTTACATCTTTCCATAAATGTAATCGCCATGAATGCTTCTCAGTATTTAAGAAAGAAGTATGTCTACATTTTGTTAAAACTTTCTAGAAAAATGTATTAGGTGGTAGGATACATTCCTGTTCTTTTCAAAATAATCTCAGCTATTTTTAGTTCTTTTATGTAAATATGTAATCAATTTCATTTTTAAAACATCTTTCATTTTTAAAATGTATTTGGATGTTGAGTGGCATTGCACTGAATTTATTTTGAAGAAAAACCCATCTTTATAATCCTTAGTTATCGTATTTATGAATATGGTACATCTTTCCATTCTATGCATTTACTTTACTACCCTACAATAAACTTTTTTTCCTTTTTTTTTGCCTACAATAAACTTTTAATAAGTGTTTTCTTTCTTTCTTTCTTTCTTTCTTTTTTTTTTGAGATGGAGTCTTGCCCTGTCACCCAGGCTGGAGTGCAGTGGTGCAATCTGGGCTCACTGCAACCTCCACCTCCTGGTTTTAAGCGATTCTCCTGCCTCAGCCTCCTGTAAGCCTAGCTAAACAGGTGTGTGCCACCATACCTGGAAAATTTTTGTATTTTTAGTAGAGATGGGGTTTTACCATGTTGGTCAGGCTGGTCTCAAACTCCTGACCTCGTAATCTACCCCCCATGGCCTCCTAAAGTACTGGGATTTACAGATGTGAGCCAACGCTCAGGCCCATAACTGTTCTTATATTTAAAAGGTGTTTAAGATTTTCCCATCAATCTCTTTAACATATGTCTTAAGGACTCTTCTTCCACGTATTCTAGAAGTTGGAACCACTTAGAACTACCCAGAACCACTCAGAAGCCGCCAAATATGCCATGTTCTTTCATGCCTCTACTGACTTTGTTTCATTTTCCTGAAGAACAATGCTCTAGGGAACTCTCAACTTAAAGAGTCAGCTTGAGTATCATCCCATCTCCTCCGTGAAGCTTTTGTTAGTCCTCTCAAGAGGATTCTTCCTCCTTAATTCTGTAATACATTGCTTTCTCAAAGAAATTTTATATTACATTTTAATTAAACATGTCCATCTCTCCTACTAATTGTGAGCCCCTCAAGCAAAGGCAAAGATGATACTACATTCATTGTGTATCCCTTGTTTCTACTCTAGAGTGTAAAACGTAAGTGTTCATTAAGTGTCTGTTCACTGAATGAATGAATGTATATGAAACATACTCTTAATGTCTTTTTGCAAATTAAAAAATGTTCAGCTATTAGATCTTCAAAAATTGTTTCTCTATTCTCCCCTCCAATATCTTTTTGTGGAATTTCTATTAAATGGCAATTTAGAGTTTATTGACCTGTCCTTTGTATCCTACCTACTCTTTTATATTTTACCTCTTTGACTCTATATGAGTTATACTAGTTAATTCTTCGGCACTCCATTTCACTCCCTGATTTGTTCTCTGTGTTCAGTCTAAAGTCCAACCCATCTATTTTTTGGTTTTTAAGTGACTATATTTTTACTTTTGAGATTTTTAATTGGCAGTTGCAGTGGCTAATCCCTGTAATCCCAGCACTTTGGAAGGCTGAGGTAGGAGGATCACTAGAGCCCAGGAGTTTAAGACCAGCCTTGGCAACATGGCAAAATCCTGTTTATACAAAAAAATACAAAAATTAGTCAGACATGGTGGCACACAACTGTAATTCCAGCTATTCGGGAGGCTGAAGTGGGAGGATCACTTGAGCAAGGGATGTCAAGGCAGCAGTGAACCGTGATTGTGTCACTGCCCTCCAGCCTGGATGACAGAGTGAGACCATGCCTTAAAAAAAAAAAAATTTCTAATTGTTTCTTTTTCTTATTCATTTTTATTTTTGATCTTTTTGTGTCTTATAATTTATTTATGGATACTATGTCTTCATTTATTTATGGACATCTTAAACATACCAATTTTAAAGACTTTGTCAAATGTTTTTATATCAATATTATCTGATGTAAATTCATGTTCTAATTGTTGACTGGGTTTATCATCTCTTTTTTAACTTTATAAGAGAGACAGAGTCTCGCTGTGTTGCGCAGGCTGATCTTGAACTCCTGGGCTCAAGCAATCCTCCCATCTTGGCCACCCAAAGTGCTGATGTTACAGGCGTGAGCCACTGCACCTGGCCTGTCATCTTTCTTAGCATTCATTTTATCTATACACTTTGGAATGCTGGCCTTAAGCTCATTGTAAATGAAATATTTTGGTTTTGGTTCTTTACTCCCTCTCTTCTTTTATCTTTGCTTCTCACAGTCTAGAAATTTTTTCACTAACTCTATCCCTCTCTCCAACCTGAAACTCAGTCCAGAAACAAGATGTTCCAGTATTCCTGGAGGTGATATTGATGGCAATACAGATGCCATCAGCAATTCAATTAGGAGCTCAGGGGAGTTCTCGTCAGGAGGTTATGTCTACGAAGGCAGAGTCCCAACCTGACTCCCGATTTAAGCTCTAAGCCTAGACTTTGGCCCTTGTCTTGTGTAAAACACTTTTAGTTCCTATTTTGGTAGAAAAGGTGAACTCACAGCCACCATTGCCTACTTCTAGTCCTGGAGCAGAGAAGGTGGATGGCTTGAATCTGACTACCATTTTGCATTTATATTTCCTTCATATTCCAAAGAGATTTCATTTTCTTTGTAAGGCCATGTTTTCTCTCTTTATATTTATTCTATAATTTCATTATGTTTAATGTGAATGGGACGTCAGAACCTGAACTTATCAAATATTATTTTTAATGTGTATGTGTTACTAATTGATAATCAGATTCTTAGAAGAGGGTTATACTCTAAATTATTGCCCAGCCTCACTCTACTAATCCAAATGCCTGGTGGGATGGCAGGAGGGATACTTAAGACTTTTAGATGAAACAAGCAAAGGCCAACCTGTTAGAGCCTGCTTCTAATCCTGGTGGTTGTTGTTGTTTCCGTCTGAAATGATTCATCTTGAGGCAATAGGTTGATAACATAGAAATGCCAAGAATTAGGGAAAATGAGATGAGAAATCATGTATTCCCCCACACTGGGAGAAGACCATCAGCACGTTTCTGTTTAGCTACTGAGCTGAAACTCCTGAACAGTATCTTGATGACATTATATTTTAAAATAACTTCTTCCCGAGTACATGTGAATATGGCCATCTCCAAGTTTAAGGTGGCTTCCAACATTACCTATGTCTTGGTATCTCCAAATCTGTCTCTTTTTCCCAAATGGTTTTCCTGAGCTCCAGTTCCATACATCCAGTTGCTAACTAAATATCTCTAATTGGATGCTCAACAGACACCTCCAACTACCCACCCCATTCCCAAACCAGTTGTTCTGATGCTCCCTATCTGGATAAATGGCTCCACCATTCACCCAGTTGCCTGAGACAGTAACCTGGCCATTACCCTCTGCTCCTCCCCCTCTCTCAATCCCCACATTCAATTTGTCCCCAAATCTTGCCAAATCTACCCCTTAAATGTCTCCTAACTCCATCTCCACTCTCTTGGTATTCTAGTGTCACTGCCGTAGTTCAGACTCACCATTCTTTATCTAAATAGTTTACTAATTATTTAGTTGGTCTTCCTATCTTTAGCATTAGTCAGCCTATAATAAATCAGTCTTCCATAGGCTCTTAGACTGATCTCTTTACACAACAAATATAATGACTGACCTCCACGTAAAAACAACTCTCCACTGACCTGAGGATAGAATTGTGTTTTGTTTTTGAGACAGAGTCTTGCTCTGTCACCCAGGCTGGAGTGCAGTGGCACAATCTTGGCTCACTGCAACCTCTGCTTCCTGGGTTCAAACGATTCTCCTGCCTCAGCCTCCAAAGTAACTAAGATTATAGGCACACACCACCACCCCTGGCTAATTTTGTTCTGTTTTGTTTTGTTTTGTTTTATATATTTTAAGTAGAGATGGGGTTTTGCCATGTTGGCCAAGCTGGTCTCTCAAACTGCTGACCTCAAATGATCTGCCTGCCTCAGCCTCCCAATGTGCTGGGATTACAAGTATGAGCCACCACACCCAGCCAGGATAGAATTTTAATTTAGTATCTTTGCATATGAGGCCCGTCAACATAGATCTCTTCTCGTCTTCAGCCTCATCTCTCACCATCTCCTCTCCTATCCTCGAATCCAGGCATAGTCAGTTGCTGTAAACCTGAGCCAACCTCACCCACTGTCCCTCTCTGGAATACTTTCTCCAGCCTGCTCTGCCTGGCTACCTCTTTCAGATCCATTAGAGTTATCACTTCCTCCAGAAAGCCTCCTCTAGACCCTTCGTTCTA